AACGAGATGACATGGCCTTTCACCCATGACCTGTCTCGAAAGGGTTAATAACCATTCTCTTAACAAATTGACTTGCTAATGTTATTGTACATTATCAAAAGGAAATGAGAGGTCATAATTGTTGTGGATGTTATTTTAAATAGCATAACCATAAGGTAAATTTTATTGTCTTTCATAAAGTATCACCATTATAACAACAGTTCAGAAGGGCTATATTGAGTTAGATATATATTTTATTTGATTTTGACACTGAGCTGATCATCTACTATATAAAGACAAAAAGCTGTCCTTTTGTTACGCTGATATCTTGACTGTTGCGATACCGATTGACATGCTAGTTTGTGTTTTAAAATTTTTCCAGCCATATATATATATAAAATGTGCAAGATGCACTACTTAGAACATATAATTAGATTTGAGGATAGGTTGATAGAGATTGTGATGAGTAATAAAATGAAATTGGGTATATGTGTGCCCCATGCTTGGTATTGCTGGTGGTCAAAAATCATAATTTTTGGCTGAAATTCTCCACTATATTTGCATAGTTGTCAAGGAGACACATTGATGCAACATCACCAAATTTCGTCCAGTTGTTGGCTACAACTCTAATATCCTGCATATTTTACCCACAGCACATTTCAATTTTAAAAATGCCTAAATTAAAGCATGCTTCTTCAGCTCAGTAGGCTTACAAAACCAAAACCAGGATGACAGTCCAAAAAGACCTTGAAATTCATAATAAAATTCACTGGCTTTACTATCACAATTAATAGATTGCAGGGTCATACAGTTGACCACATAGAAATATGTCTTTACGAATCAGTTCTTTTGCATCTTTTGATTGATATGGATTTATCAATAAAAACATTTGAACATAGCTTAAAAATGTACAAAAATCAAAATGCTGATCAAGTAATACTTAAAGATGTCCAAGTATACGTAAAAATGTTTTTTCGTGATATACTAGAGAACATATATATTAGATATACATATATATTGTTACTAGATTATAATAAATTTTTAGAAAACATGTTCATGAAACATTTATTTACGTATAATTTTGAGAAGAAAAATTAATCATTATTTTCCATCATATGATGGGCATTCAGCTTGTAAATATTCAAATGTTTAGTAGTAAATTATATATCTATAATTTTTTTCCAGTACTGGGATGTAGATTCATACATATTTTTTTGTCTGTATTTAACCACATTTTATATTCAGAATCTACTTTGAACATTGTAATACTAGTTTTATGGTTTAGTTTATATTAAAAGTTCCATTTTATCAAGTTGTATTAAAAACTGCTTTACTAAAAATGCATTTAACAGTAAAAATAACTAACATTTGTTAATAAGTTGTCTTGATTTTAATACAGTAAATGTAATTCTTTGGTGAATTATGTACTTTGAAAATTAGTGTTAATATACACGTTTTACACTAATGCTTACCTAGTATTAAAAACAAAATATGCATAGTTTTGAAAGCATATAGTTATAGGTAATGTTACTTTAAATATATTTCTGTTGAGCAATAAACTATATTGTTACATTTGGAAGATTAAATGATCTTAACATTATTTTATTATTAATGCAAGGGAAGTTTTTTAGGAATGCAAATCCTACTAAACAAACCAATATAACTGGCAGCGTACAGGGCATGTGTCAACTTGTCTCTTCCTCTCTCTCTTTTTTTCTTTTGAATGTGAAGTGTTATATAAAAGATTTCAATACTCGGGTTAATTTATATATAGAAAGTATACCAGTGTATTTTCTGGCTATCTTAATCGTACTTTTAAAGGGTTTGGTGTTGTTTTTTTTTAATAAGCTCTGATTTGTTGTTTGTTCTTGCTATCCATCATATTTTCAGTTGTGCTTAGTACTAAGCTTGTGTGTGTCTTCTTTTTTAGTGAGTGTATTTTGCCAATTTTTTTCATCAATGCACATAAGAAATGTTCTCATATTCCTACCATATCTTTCATCCACTTATTGTTTTTACTATTTCACCAGCTTATTTTAGGTACCTGTCACCAGCACCACATCTCAACTGCTGTCACAATTTTTCGGTCACTTTCCGTCAGAGTTCAGCTTTACATTCATTACTGATGCTTTTATTGCCTTAACTTTCAACCTTCTGCTAATGGTTTTCTGTTACTATTTTGTGAAAAAGAAAGGAAAAAGGTAAAAGTTATGTATTGATAGTGAATTTGTATTTTTTTAAGGGATTGGTGTATATCCAGACAGTTATGGTGGGGACACCAGATCCCTGCCTACTTCATAGAAATATCAAGACAAGTAAAGCCTCCAGGAGCAGTAAGTGTGAAATAAATGTAAATTCATTCTTGACTTAGCTTTGTTTCGTTTTTGCTATGACACATCGTGAAAATGACTTGTACCCTTTTATTTTATAGACATATATCAATAAGTTTGGTATCAAATTATAGATTATAATTCAAATATTAGTACTATACATTAGTTAGGTTCTTAATTTGAAACTAAATATTTAGAAAAAGGCTAAATATCGGTTTTTGTATGTTACGTGGTACATGACTTTCTGGGTTTGGTCAGAATACATTTTATAATGCCCACGTTGCAACGTCTATAGTTTTGTACAAATTAGAAACTCAAATTTTCGATATTGGCAAGCTAGAATATAAAATAAGAACCTCCTACCTTTTCTATATGCTGAGATATGATATTTAGCGAACCCATCATATTGGCTCTGCTCACCACTTCATCATTTGAGAAGACTTATTCATATACCAATAACTTTATAATCAATCAAAAGATATATATTTATTCTACATAATTCTGTCAGTCTTCCTAAGTTATTTATGAAAGAAATGCTCTTATATCATTAAAAAGTTTGATGTATTGCTATGAAGGCTATTTTGTGAATAGAAATTATATTTTTTTTAGACCCATATACAATTTAGTTAGGAAGCCTGGTAAATTGCAGTGGATTTTTGTGGTATTGGTATAGTAATTTATGATTTTTTTATATTCCAAAATGCTTATATAAAGTCTATTTTTATTATTATGATTTTTTCCATCTCCACACGTGAATTTGGACGAGGCTTAGCATGTATGTCTCATGAGTGCAAACAAAGACTTCGTAGCATCGTAAGCAGTAGAGATCATTGTTTTCCAAGTATTCTTTATTTACGATTTTATGTTTGAAGAAAAATAACTGACAATTAAGTATTTATTTGAAAACATTAGTTATATATAAATACTTAATTGTCAGTTATTTTTCTTCTTGTGTGTGTTATATATAATATACATAATAACACACACACACATGTAATGTACAGTAGCCAATATGTTACTTTATTTTACAAAGTAAGAACTTGTGTTATTTTTCTACTCGTTTATATTGAGGTAGAATAAAAACAAATTATTCAAAACTAAAAACTTGGGAATTCAGAAAAAGTTTATTTTTGAAATTTGTGAAAGTTTAAAAAATAAATTTATCAATGATCAACTAATCTTAACACATAAAAAGGAACATCTTTACATAAACACCCAATTGAACTTGCAGTTTGCTGGTGAATAATTTGTTTCTCAAGGTACAATCAAGAAGGCTAAGCCAAGAATATGAGCCATATTTATATTACTGGAAACTATGCATTTATTGTTTATTGGATAAGCATAGTAATATTGGAAACAGGATGTCCATAAGCATTTACACACACTAACACCTATAACAATGCTAAATCCCGACTATGAAGTAAAATAACTAACAAGTTTATTGGATGGGATACAACTTTATATTTTGTACATAGCCATATCATAAATATTTTCTCTCACTTTTGTAAAATACTTTAGACAATTCTTGTTGCAACCATTGTATTGTAAAGAAGCCAGCAAATTCTATCCCACCGTGTTCTCAAAGCAGCGATCCGAATAGCTTCTATAGGATACTTCCAATTTTTAACTTATTGGATTGGCCCAGACTTTCTACAAAGTCACAAACATTTTATAATAATTTAGATAATTGTCATTGTAACCATTATACTGTCAACAAGTTGATATATCCTATCCCATTGTGTTTTCAAAGCAGGGAAAATTCTAGGAATTGCACTGCATGAACTTATTTGATATTGAAAATGTCAAAGTACGGTAACAACTAAACATTGATTTATATTTGGCAGTTTTCTACTTCAGCCGCTAACAATAGGAAATAGGTATAAAAGGATTAGAAGAAACTCTCAGGAGATTTACTTGGAACTTTACTGTCCATTCTGAAAAGAACAGAGTACGGTTCATTTTATTTCTTGTTACTTCTAACTCATAAGTATGAAATAGTGAGATCGTAAACTCTGACCATAAGTACTTTGAAATTTTGTAATTATCATTAACAATACTGTACATTTTATTTTGCCACCTTTATTTTTGTTATAATTTGATTACTTACCTAACAACTTGGAGAAATAAGTAAAATGTTGCAGTACAAAAATAACAAATAAAATATAAAGCTTTACTGAAAATAAAAATGTTAAAAATTTAATTATGAAGATTTTTATTTTTCATTTGTTTTAACCATTTATTATTATAAAAGTAACTTAAATCGTAAAAATAGAAAGTTGTTCGGTAAGATAATGAAAGAAAAATAATAAAAATCCTTCATGGGATAAATGCATCAGAAGCTTCTGTCGATGCATGTGCGCCATGTAATTTTCAGCTACTGTCTGGGGTATTTTTAGTCAGACATGGGGCAAATGTCAATAAAACAAAAATTAATAAATATAAATAGATTTATATTGTTAAGAGATATAAGTTATTTAAAATAAACATTTGTGGTTTCCTCTTAAAATTTGCAGTTATTCTACAACAAAAAAGTAACTGACATTTATTTCCTAATTTTTATGATAGTTACGAGGTTGGTCAAATTTATCAACACCATATAGAGTTATTATTCATAAAATAACAGATTAAATATAAAAATTCACGAATAATCTCTAATAAAAAATCTTAAATCATAATTCAAAAACCAGATATTTGTGTACGAAATCCTTATAATGTTTACTAATAATCTGGAAAATGTTGTAAATACTTGCCTACAATTTCAAAAATTATAGTACAATTACTCTCATAGGTACTTTCCTGGTTATGAGCTGGGTGGAATTCACCGAACCCATAATGGAAGGGTTAAACATAATTAATTTACAATTATTTTATTTAGAAATGTGAACGTGATTTATGGTAACAATGTATTTTGTAACCCCTTACCTACCAGGGCCATTTTATCTTATCGTGAAGGCAAAAAATCACATTTGTGAATTGAAAAAATTAGTGAACTTATCTTTTATTTTTATAAATAATAGCATAATATTCAATTATTTGTCCTAAATTCTATTATTTAATGAAGTTTAAAAAGATGTTTAAGAAAAAAAAAATTCCAAAATACATTTTAGACTATAAATAAGCACCCACTAAGAAAAGCTTTTTTAAACATTGTTTATATTTTTACTTGCACTTTGGCACTGGTCCTGCCATCTATAATTGGTATCTAAACCTTTTTCTAGTCTGTTTTCTTTATAAACAATGTATGGGCATGTTAAACCTCAGTTGTAAAACTTTTAGCCAATCCTAGTCGAAGGTGTAAATTTCAGTACCATGTTATTTCAATCTTCATATTTCACGTTTGACAAATCATAGGATGATAAGCAAAACACGTGATGAAACGTTGTTTTCTGGATTTCTCAATGTGAACGTGGATGGTACTTATTTTAGTAACTGACATTTTATGTAGAGGTTGTATTTAGTAGTGGTGAAAAGTACTTTTTTTTTTTATAAGCCTTTGCTTCTTAAAAAAACGTAAGTGGATGTACGTGACTTAATATTTTCTATAGTAACTTAAATCATGCTATATTATATATCTATTTATGTTAATTATTATATTTAAAATTAACTCACAATAGATATATTTTTAAGAAAGAAGTTGATCCACGAATGTTAAGGTTAAGATCTATCCAGTGGCATAGTCTTTACGTGGATTAGGCTTAGCACTTTGAACTGAAAGAGTTTGTGATTTTTATATTCTTTTGCATTCAAATTAGTAGTTTTGAAATTTAATAATTTAGCATAATTTTATATTTAGTTTATGATAAAAATATGATTCAGTATTTAGAGTGATAACCTTGTGTGATTTGTACGTACTACTACTAGTACCACGTAAGAATTTTATATTTTTCCTTTTCTAATCTTTACTTTGTAGTAAAACCCACACTTCTGTTGTTATTGCTTTAGAATTTAAACAGTCTAACTGATATATGATAACAATAAAACCCATATGTTGGTTGTGAAACAGACTAAATACATTCATCTCAATAATACAGGGAAGCTATTACATTCTCACAGTTGGGGTCTCAATACACTGAAGAGCTTAAGTTTCGTATTCCAATATAAATCTTGCCTATAATGAGAGGAACGTGACCAGGACTAATCTTTTAAGTGCTGTAAAGTAATTTTCTTTGTAATTTATGGTGTCTGTATTGTTTGGTAATCTCTTGTAACAGGATGTATCAAGTAACTAGGGTCAGGCGATGTTATTCAAACCACCTGTGATGTAAACTATTACATACATTTGCTAGTAGTGGCAATTAGTTTTGTCTGTGTAGTGAAACAACATACAAGGACATATGTTCAAATAAACTTGTTTGAAAGTTCAAAGAAATGATATTCAAGTATCAAAGTTTCCCTACTATCATGTCTACAGTAATGTTCAAATGCGCCTGTGCTGGACTGAACGAGAGTGAAGCCCAACAGGCGTGATAGTTTACAGCAAATGTACGAAGTTCATGCTGCTAACTGCACGTTTTTTTTTTTGCCACAATAAACAAAAGTACGGCTGCAAAGAAACATAAATTTGAAATAAAAATAAATTTATGAAACAAAATTAAAATGTTTTTTTATGTACATGTATAAACATTAAATCAGTTAAAAATTATAAAAATACTCGTTTATTGTTGAGGTTTACTTAGAAATATTATTTTTGGGTTTTGTATATTATTTGAAAACATAAGGAGAGTACGTGATTATTAAAAATAGACAAAATTTGCATTTTATGGATGATAAAACGTTTTTAGAGATTTTAAAATAATGTACTAAAACATAAAAAGTAATTAGTTCAAATCTGGAACAAATATAAATATTGTAATCATTTTTTACAAATACCGTTTCGTAATGTAATTTTCCAAGATATTAAACATCATAATGCAAATAAACTAAATGCATTTATGAAATTTCAAACAATTTCATCCAGTAGTTTTATTGTTTAAACAAAATACAGCAAGACTTGCGTTGGCTTT